AGAGGTTTATCTGAGGGCACTCAGAGAGTCCTCGAGTGCAGAGCACAGAGAAAGCTAGCTGATGAAGGCGGTGTGGAATGATTGCTGGAATACGTCAGTGCTTGGCTTTGGAGTCTGAGGAAGGATGTATTGTGCAAATCATTGGCCTTCTGGGAAACATCAGAAAGGCAGACGGCCGGGGAGTCCTGAGAAGGCTCAGGGCAGGCAAACCATTGGAGTATTTCTCCTGTGCACCTTCAACCCAAACAGTTTTGCTGACAGAGGCTGAAAGAAAGAAAAATGGAGCCAGTGATTTGTGTTTTATTATGCGAAGTGTACTGTTAGGGGACTTTTTATTAGTCAGTAGTCGTCGTTTCTCCAAGATGTGGGGAAACACAGGAAAGCATTTTGTCCTTGTTTCTGCTCTCTCCCTGTATCTATCCTCTTTGCTACAGCCATGTTGAGGCTCTGGTTCTCTCCATCTTGACTGCTGAACTCCAGGCCAGTACCCTGCTCCTGGCTCCCGGCACGAAATGGACATGGCAGGAGAGCAGATAGCAGGGGGACAAGAGAGCAGGGGGACAAGAGGCAGGGTCTGGGGACAAGCCAACCTCATCGGAGCATTCCTCTCCCTCCCACGCCTCTCCCCTCTCAGACACACACACCCCACCACACACACCCCTCCACACACTACACACACACCCCCAAAGCACAAACACACCACATACCCCACACACACACTGTCACAGGATGACATAGCTAGTATTTTTTGTTAATGACATTTCCCCTGTGAAGCTCGGACAATGTATATGGTTTTGAAAGAATCAGTGGAAGCAAAAAAGTCCGTGAAGTCAGTAAGCAGCCTTTAAGCATGTGCTGTGTGAATTAGCAGAAGGCTAATAGGAGCAGTTTTCTTTCTGCGAAACGTGTTTGCTTTTCCTTGATCACTGTACTCTATTAAATCAGAACATTGTACTTTTTTTAAGCCAGAACCCAAGGGTGTAGTATTTAATCCTTCAAAGACAAGGGATCTTTCACAAACTATAGTTAGTTCCTACTTTGTCCATATCTCATTCTTAAAAATACATAGGAAAGTTGAATAGAAAATGGAGAGATTTTCATGTTGTGAGTGAGGTTTCCATACCTACAGCACTAAAAATATAACATCCCCAAGCAGTTCAATGAAAGTTGTCTCTGCACTGGGATCGTAGACACTTTCTGTCTTAGTCTTTATCATTTTTATGATATTTGATAGTATATTTTTAACTTGCACATATGCGCTTCAGATTTTGTTCTTTCCCTTCATCAGTGAACAACTAGTCAACAAGTTCAGTTCCGACCATTTGAGACAACGCGGGCTACTTTCAATACACCCTAATGGATCCTTCTCCTGCTGAACTGCATGTGCTAAAGTCAGCTTGTACCAACTTGGGAGAATCGACTGTTAAATTGTCAGGAATGTTGTGAGATGACTCACTTCAGGTTGACAGCTTAAAGTCAGGTATGATGGGAATATTTACACCAAAGGAACAGATAAACGCAGCAATCAGGGCTTCCTTCCCATCCCCAGAAATGCTGCTTGTTGAGCATCCACCAGCACATCATCGGAGGGCCCATTATCCAGACATAATTAAGATGAGATTGGTCTGTTAATTTAAAAAAAAATGACTAAAATGAGGAAAAATAACCGGAAGATACATTCATTTATACATTAACCATTCATTTACTTAACACATCTTTTGGTACAGAGCCAAGGCCTTTCATTGAATCTGAATTCACTTTCTTCCTAAACCATGTCCATGTTGCCCTACCTACAACTTCCGGTTTCAGGTTCCTTAAAATGCAGCAGGAACTTAAAAATGCCTCTGATGCAACCTGAATGCAAAATCCTTCTAGATTATTCTCCCAGTTTCTGACAGTTGTTTCACCTTCCCCTCATTGGACATCAATTTATTTTAGTAACTTGCTTGTACTGCCATCTCAAAAATTTCCATTCATTGGTCATATAAACAATACTCTTTTACTATTCATATATTGCCAATTGAAATAATATTTAATTAAATCAGGTTATTATAATGCTAATTAACATTGACACAAATGGGTTTGTGAACAAACCAACTGAGCCTTGGTGTGCAGAATGCTTAGGCCGACCAGAGGCAGCCCAAGCCCTGAGCACACGGTGTGCCACGAGCATCGGTCAGTCCCATTCCCTGACGGCATGGAGAGCGATGACTAACCCCATTAACTAATTAAGGGGAGGTCGGTTAAAATGCCTACATTTCGACAAAATTTCATCATGATTTTTATTTTTCTGATGTTTAATCTACTTTCAGAAAATAACAATGGCCAACTACATAAACTAGTGAAATAATGTATTTAGAATTTCTTATACAAACCGATGTATTCAAAAATTCTTAATGCACACACGGATGAAATCAATTTGAAAAGAAGGCCACAGGTGAACATGGAATTCGTTACTTGATTCACGAAAGACAGAACTGTGACATAAGAAAGGCCAGAAATTGGCACAGGAAAGGCGAATTAGGAGGGCTGAGGTGCTAGCATCACCACCGTCGTCACCACCACCGCCACAGGAACAGTAACAACAACTCATACTTATTGAGCTCTTCCTGGGTGTGAGCACTGTTACTCTGAAGTGCTTCCCATGCATTTTGTCCCTCATAGTATACGCGAGGGAACCGAGGCACAGAAAGATGATGGAGCTGTGCAGGGCCCCACAGCGGGTAGGGGTTGGGCTGGGTTTGGAACTGAGGTAGCCCAGACTCCAGAGCCCGTGACCTTCCCCTCTGCGTGCGGTACACGCTGACGGTACCACTGGGTGTCAGTGGCCCGTGCTGCCTACTCTTCCACGTGCGTTTCTTCTCTGCCCCTACTGGGGCTAGAAGTGTTCTGACTCACCTGAAGCTGAAGGAGGATGGGAGGGAAGCAGGGAAGAAAGAGCCAAACACTTTTTTTAAGCTCTCTGATTCATGAGACTCACATTTCCCTTTGCCCTTCCTGTTCTGGTTATCCATGGCTGCATGACAAAGGACCTCGAAACTCGGTGGTATAAACAACTCAGTTCGTGTAAATGATTATTAACGGTTTTAACAGTTCTTGTTCTCTCTTATTGTGCTATGAGAAGATGGGGCTCAGCTGGGCAGTTTTTGCTTGGTGTCCCTCACGCCCTTTCTATCTGATGGGGGCCGGGGCTGGGCCATCCGAACGCCTGACTAGGCTGGGTATCCAGGAGGCAGTACTCGCATGTCAGGCAGCAGATTCCGGCTGCTGGTGTGAGTTCATCCGTCCACAAGAGCAGCCACGTGTGGCCTCTCCATGTGGCTTGCACTTCTCACTGAGAGACACATAAAATCAGTCTTCCTTCGCAGCAGCCCAGGGTTCTGAGAAGGCAGGGTGGAGGCTGCCAGTCCTCTTAAACGCTAGCCTCAGACCTAGCAGGATCGCTGCCTCCGTGCTTATGGATCAAGCAAGTGAAAGGTTAGTACATATTCTGATGGAGGAGCATTAGACTCCTCCTCTTAATGGGAGAAATAGCAAATAATAGCAAATAATCTGCAGCCCTCTTTAACCCGCCATGTCTAACAGTCTACACTGCCTGCCAGCCTGCAGTGCCAAGGACTCCGGAAGTGCCAAGTCCTATCCAACAGGCTTAAGAGACTAATTTAATGACCAACACCACAGGGAAAACTGCCTCCGAGGACTCAGAAAATCTGCTCTGTTGCACGCTGGCTGCACGCTGCCTTTCTTTTTAAAATACGTTATGTCAGAGAACCTCTTCTTTTCACTGCCATTTATACAGTTTTACTGTAAAATAAAGAAAATGCACACTTTGAAGAAGAATAAGCAAAATTAGAAGCAAAATTCCAGTAAACATACATTTTGTGTCCTGAAAAAGGCCTTTTGGCTGTAAGTTGGCTGAGACACAGAGTGGACCACCCGGGTTTGGATCCCTAGATCACCTTTAAGCACTCAAATGCCACCTGCAAATTGGTGCTCATCGAAGTTGCCCTCCCATCCCTCCCCCGTCAAAATCCCTGGCATTTTAACAAGGCTTCTTTCTTTTCCACATGTGAAAAAAGTGCTTGTCTAAAATGCATCCATCTCTTGCTAAAGCATGGCTATTATGCTTATTTTAATTCTCTTTATAAAAACTCAATCTTTAATGTCCTGGGACACTTTAATGCTGTGTGTTGAGCTAATGTGCAAAATACATACCCATTATTACCTATTTACTTGGGTTATTGTTCTGGCTAAGGTGTAATTTTCCACCAGGCAATAGTTTAGAAATTTGGCAGCACACAGAGAACATTTCCATACTTAAAAAGCATCCAAAATTTAGAATGACATCCAGAGATATTAAGCAAGTGTAGATAATGCTCTCCAACTTCATCAAATATTCATGGTTAATTATAGTCATAATATTTATGTTGCTGTGAAAATTAAGGTTGTGAGCTTCTTGTACATAGGCTAAAAATACAAGTTTACAGACTGTGCTATTGCTTACCCCTTTCATTACTGGAATTTCTCATTGTCATTAAATAGAATGGCAGGCACGGGGTTCTTTGGCTCCCTGACTCACGTGGCAGATCTGATATCTCCCTTGATAGGTCAGACAGAACGTGCAGGAAATGCTGAAGAACCATCAGACCCTCTCCCACAGGAGAGAAGGATGTGAGCAGAGGCCCAGAGGCTACATTTTCTGGAACAAAAATCAAGACACATGGACTGACAAGTCCAAGAACACTCTGAGAAGCCCCAAGATAGACGATTTGAAATTCAGTCTTAAAAAGTGGGACATATGGTCATCCCATCTGAAGGGAATAAAATCACATGGTCCAGAAGAAAGAAGGGCTTGAATTATCTAGTCTTATCTAATCTCGACACAACTATTATTGGAATAAAAATGCAATTGTAAATTTAAAAGACAAGTATAGAAAAAAATCTTTCCAAAAAAATTGTGTATCTAGTTTAATGCCTGTCTCAAGACCATCAATCAGAAGTAAAGGTCAAACTTCCTAAACAAACTTTCCTTGCTTTCTTGCCTCGTCTCCTACTTCTATTTCTTTGCCCCTGACAGGCAAGAATATTTGTAATTCTCAGTCTGTCACATCTCTAAACCTTTTCTTATTGTATCCCTTCATTTAGGAATATTCATTCAATGTGGCCTCTGAGGTGAAGTTCATCTTATTTGTAATACTCAGTGTCAGCATCATCTGGCTTCTTAACCTTCCAGAATCTACGACTTCACTTCCTGTCTACGCCTCCATTGGTTAGCTTTGTTTTTATTCTGAGCCTCTGGGGCTTTCCCTCACCTTCCTGGGATCTCGGGTGTGCATTTGAGAGAATGTTTGTCATGTTTCACCTATGTTTTGTAACAAGAGTTTTCCTAAAATTATTTCTCATATATTAATTACCTCAAGATTACATAAAAGCTAATCATTTCCCTCTGGATATCTAATATCTCATTTATCATATAGTGCATTTTTGTATATACTGAGGTCCATTTTGAAATTATCAATTACTTCCACTTCTCGGTCAATTCTAAAATCAGTCTCACAGTAACAATTTTTAATTGGTAGCTTTAGAGTACATCCAGTAACTAGTAGGACAATGCCATTGTCATTACTCTTTTAATAGGTGGTTATTCCAAATAAATCATCTCTCTCTTAACCATGTCCTAGTAAAACACTAGAATGGTAATGCAGTTATGCTGCATGGAAAGTCACATACGTTTGATTTGTAAAAATCTAAATTTATGTACAGACTAAATTTTTTAAAGAATTTCCATCAACTCTTCAAGCTCTGACACTATTTTTCAGTCCTTCTTTCTTTTTTGTCAATCTGTCCCCAAACCAAATATTCTTGCCATCTCACTCTTTTTAACAAAATTTGCCATTAAGAAAGGATCAAGCATGAATAATTTACAATAGCCACATGTTTTCCCTCCCAGTAGTATCCGTGAGTTGTATCTTAGCTCCAGTTGCAGAATTAAAAGATTTATCTTCAAATATTAGTCAGCAAGAGAGAGAAGTTCTTTTTCTGTTCTTGAATTCTTGGAATTTTAGCTCCACCCTCCTGGTACATAAAGTACACTCCAACAGAATGTGTCTTTATTAGCACAGCCATAAACATTTATTGTTATTATTCATTTGCCTAATTCTTCCTTTTGCCATCTGGAAATTTGACTTTAAACTTCAGCAGAAAGAAAATTCTCCTTCTTGTTAGTCTTGGAGTGTGACCCTGCTCCAGACAGGGTCACATCTTACAGTGTGGATATGCACCACCATGCAGCTGCACCCCCCAACCCAGGTAAGCCTGCACAAACCAGGTAAGCCCCTCCTCGCCCATGGTGCCCACCTGGGATGAAATCAAAAGAGAAACTAGAGAGTAGTCTTCTTACGCTCCTTTTTCATCTATTATGGAGAGTTGTAAAGCCAATAACTTAATTTATTCCCATATATTCAGAAAAGAAGGAAGGCAGCAAGGAAGTAAGGAAGAAAGAGAGAGAAAGAGAGGGAGAGAAAGAAAGAAAGAAGGAAAGAAGGAAAGAAGGAAAGAAAGAAAG